CTGTAGGTCATTCCTAAAATTGTTCTGTTTTGTTTAAATGTGGCTTAAAATTATGTTAGGGGGAAAAGATGTGACCCCTTCAGGGACTGTCAGAAGGAATCAAAACCAGCTTAGCAAGGATACAGAAATGGAAATGTGATATTTATCAGGGGAAATGAGGGTAAGATTAAATAAAATGGAGCCAGCCCCCATGTTAGAAAAATGCCTCAGTGCGGAGGCCGTGCTTCCTGCCTTTTGGTCATCTCCTAAAGACAGAGGGGCTGGGCTGGACAAGGATGGACGTCTCCAGAGCCTTGAAAAGTATAGGGTGAGTTTATTTCTCAGGTCAGGTTCAACCTCCTAAAAGCCTGGCTGAATTAAAAACTTTATTATATTCATGAAAGAATCTGAGAATCCCAGGCCAGCCTCTCTTCACATTGCTGTCTTGGACTTTAGTTGGAGGCCTACCTCCAGTCCTAAGAAAGGCAGGTCCCAGGGGAGTTGAGCCCTTTCTAAGTACACAGCTCCTGCTTGCCCTTTTGTGATCTCAGCTCATCCAGGGAGATCTTTCCTGTCCCATGAAAATATCCTACAGCCTGCATTGTCTCCCCTCAAACATAAATTAAACAAATACAAGCCTGAAGTAGGAAATGTATTATAGAGGTTGTCTGTTTCCATGGAAAACATGCCTCTCTAAAAGTACTTTGAGATTCAAGTGAACACACAGATCACTTAGAGATCAGGTTCTAGTGCAGATTCCCAGTCAGTAAGTCCCAAAAGGGCCTTGGAGTCTGTTTCTATCGAGGTCCCTGATCCAAGAGTCATGCACTGAGGATCTAAAGGACCTGATTTCAAATTTTGGCTTCTCACAACCTCAGTTTCCCCACGTACAAAGCAAGGAGTCTGGATGAGGACACTTTATAATTCTGGTCAGCAGCAGCATTGTGAGGTGTGGAGAGCAGAGAAGGTTGGTGCACGTCCAGAGCATATCTCTGCTCTGAGTTCTCAAGAACTCCCCATCACAACGCTGTGAAGACAAAAATGGAAAGGTGAACACAAACTAGGCAGGAAAATACTGTTTTTATCCTGACGATCCCAGAGCGATTACTTTCCTTCTTCTCTTGCCTTCACCGTCAGAGGTTTGGCTTTAATTAGATCACATGATCAGCAAATCACATTCTAATTCTGATGTTCATGTGCTCAAATTAAGATAGGCTTAAGTCTTTCCCTGGCTTGCCCAATGGAATAGTCTAATTACCAATATTCATCAAGCATTAGTCAGAAAAGATTATTGCCTTTAGATCTTAGACATTCTTAATTGCTATTACATTTTTTATGATAAACTTGTCAGTTGTGGAGGAATTTAATACCATCTAGAAATCTTTTTAATTTTCAGATTCCATCAGACATTCTCTTAGTGAATTCTGCCCAAAGGCCACACAGCAATGTGGTTAGCAGCACCTCCCACTCTCTGTTCCCATTTACTCCTCCACTGAGGCGCATGCCTCCTGGTAGGCTTAGGCTCACTTTGTCCTGTGCCTGTTTGTGCCTCTTATTGAGTTCTGAGCCACTCTGATGGAGCACGAAGAGGAACTTAGAGCCAGAGACATGAATGCATACTTCAGCATTGCTCTGTCCAGGGTCACAGATCCCAGGAGGCCATGAGAGGCTCTGGCCTGGATGTTCCCTTTGGCTTACTTTTGGATAAACCACTCTTCCCAGATTATAAACAATTCTCTCAATAGTCTGAAAACACCAGTGCCTTGAGGGCATCAGGAGAAATGTGGGAAGTTGTCTGGTAGCTTTAGTCCAGGGGCTGGGAAGGACCTGAATTAACTGTTCCTGCCCTGGGTCCTCAGATTCACTTTCTTTCACTGGAGTAGGGTTGAGGTCAAGCAGACACTCAGTTACCTAACTAGAGATTCTGCTTTATATCACCCAGTTCCTAGTTTGCATAGAATGGGTGTTTCCAAGGTGAGCTTTGTGGGAGGGAAGGGTTGGAAACTAACTAAGAACTTGAATAGGGTTGATATATTCTCTATATAAGAATGAATATAGATATCTTAAACCGACTGAAACTATCATAAGAAAAGGACTAAGGTAGAATGAAGAAAATTAGAGGAGATAAACCGATTGGGTTATAATACATGGATATATGGAAATATCATGGGGAAATTGTGTAGATATCTTTATCTCAAAAAGCTAAAATGTCATGTTTTTCATTTTCTCTTTTTTCTTCTACAAAATCAGAGAACAGGAAGGCATAACAAGTCCTGCCCAGGGGGAAGGGCTGGCACCAGTGGGAGGGGAGAGGTAGCAGGGAAAAAGGGTAGGAGGGTGAGTAAGATACAAAACCTGTGTACACATGTATGTAAATGCAACAATGATACCTGTTGTAACCATTCCATGAATGGGGAGGGGAGAGAAAGGGGAGCAGTGGAGGGGGTGAATTCATGTATGATATATTTGATACATTGTAAGAACCCGTGTAAATGCTGCCATGTACCCCCACCCATCACAACAATAAAGGAAAAAAAGTAATTAATAACAGGAATAGCCTGGGAATCAGAATAACTCCTTCATAAGTACTAGGCATTGCCCTGAGGCACCAGGTTTAACCCTTTAGTTCCCAGGTCAAAGGGAAGCCTAAGGAATTCCAGTGGAGGGTCAAGGTTCCAATGGAGGTTCCAATGGAGGCCTGGTGCATTACAGCTGATCGTCAGCCCTGAAAAAGACCTCCAGCCTTTAGTCAAAGAAACATCACTTCATCACCATGATTGCCATTTTCTATCTGTTAAATCAAGTGGTATAATCTCTGAGCCTCCATTTCTTCATCTATAGAAGGGGTTTCTAATACCCACTTTGCAAGATAGTGGTGAGAATTAAGTGAATCAAAGTTCAGTAAGTTCCTGGAAGAGCGCCTGGTACAAACAAATGCGCAGTTAGTACAAATAATAGCAGGGGCTCTTGTTTGCTGTCATAAAAGACAGTAAGGGGAGATGATGCTGGGCACAGTGGCATATGCTGATATTCACAGCACCCGGGAGGCTGAGGCAGGAGGACCAACCTGGATCACATAGGGAGACCCTGTCTCGAAAAAAGTAATAAATGAATAAAAGATAGTAAGTGATTATCAATTAAAGAGAGGTGTCTTGCCTCTGTACTGCCCCCACTTTCTGCGGTAGATTAATGATGGGGGGTCACAAGAAGTCTTGGATTGGTATTGCTGTCATGGTGGCTTACTCATGAGGAAGAAGGGAACTCTAGGACTTAAGGGAGTGAGGAGGCTTTGTTCCTGGGCCTGGGGCTATAAGAAAGCCTTTTAAGTCTTTAGATGGCAGCAGTTAGGGCCCACTCCTAACTGCTGGAGACTCATTTTCTGATCTGTAGGCATTTTTTTAAAGATACAGACATTATTATGAAGAGGCTTAGTTACTGGTTATCCTTCTGAGAGGCAAGCATGGCAAACTTGAGCTCATATGCTCTACCTAAGAGATAAGCTGCATATCACATGCATGTCTCTGGATGAGTCCGCCTCCTACAGCAACTCCCTCGCGCTGTGTTGATGCGTTCCTTAAATGGTCTTCTGGACATGCACTGGGTCCCATGGTATGTGTAAGCTCTATGGAAAAGGATGCTCTGTGCTTAGTTAGTCCATGGTACAGAGAAAAATATGCCCTCCACACCCAAGGAAGGGTTGGCTACCTGCTTCTCCACAGTCCTCCAGTCTAATTAAAAACAGCTTTCATTTAGTCTGATTTTACCATTGCTCTCAACACTTGCCATTCACTGTAGGCATGTTCTCAGTGATCTGAGAAGCAGCATCCTCAATCATGGAGGTGAGGGTCCCCAGACCTTTACCAACTGTTTTACTTCTCAGTCTCATATCAATTCATTAACTGTGTATGCAAATTAATTTGAAGGTGAATGTTTAAATAAGCTATTTTTCCAAACAAATCTAAAGCAATAAATTAACCAATTTTTTTAAACTTTCTTACTTTGATGTTAGAGCATCTGGAATGTATCTTTGATAATGGTCTGGGGTGAAATGGAGTGAAAAGCAGAAATGGATAAAAGATAAGGCAGCAGCTTCTTTAATGACTTGTCCAGATATAACACACTTCCACTTATTAAATATGCCATTCCTCCTAAACATTTTTCATTCTTTTAGAGATCCCTCTGAACTAACATTTGCCATGCCTAATATTGTTTTATCCTGACAAAGATTTTAGACAGTCTTGTGGGGGTCTGATTTGTTAGAATAAAGTGAATTAAAAAATTCAAGTGTCCACTCTCACTGACAGCAAGAGGGACTCCTTCCTAACTCCTGGGTTTCCATTTGTTTCCCTTAGGGATCAGCCATGATAAGATTGATATTTCCCAACGTGTTGCTAGCTCTTTCCCATCTTCTTAAGCTCATTAAGATCTCCAAGGGTCTCCTCTGATAAGCAGAGATAGAGCCTGATCACTTCAAGATTAACTTGTGTGGTCTGTAACTCCCAAGGGAGAGCTGGGGTTGCCAAGAGGGACTAGAGAGAAAGAACCCATAGAATTGTCAATAAGGGTCTGGCTTTGGTACAAGTCACCTGCTAAAGGCAGATATTTGAAGCAGTTTGGGGGTCTCTTTTACTATGGGAACCCTTGACTTAACCTCCCAGTTAGCCTTGTCATGGTGCTACACTGGGCATTCAGACCAAAAGTGACTTGGCCTGAGCTGAACTCCAGGGTTACTCTGAGAAGACGTTTCATGCCTACCCACTGTGCACCCACTGTATACTCATCCTCATGAGGCTGGGATAGAATCTGGCCATCTTGTCTACTTCATGAGATGGTAGAGGAAATAACTTCCATCAGCCTTGCAATTGGTCTTGGTTGCCAAAGATAGCCAGCAGAGCTTATTTTCCAACTTAAAAGCTGATTACTATATCCTGAAGGATGGAGTGTATTTTGTTCCTTGTTCATTTACTGTTACATGTGTCATTTGCTTCCAAATTCTGATGTGTTTCTTTGTTTTCTGTGTGTTGCAGGCAGCATAGTGTACTTCGGGATGATGGTGGGGGCGTTCTTCTGGGGAGGACTGGCAGACAAAGTGGGAAGGAAACAGTCCCTTCTGATTTGCATGTCTGTCAACGGATTCTTTGCCTTCCTTTCTTCATTTGTCCAAGGTTATGGCTTCTTTCTCTTCTGTCGCTTACTTTCTGGATTCGGGTAAGGTTTTCTCCTTCATATTTTATAGTAATGTGTTTATTCATAACTGTATATATTCTCCATGCTAGAAGACCTCATTACCAAGAAATTATATCTGAACACATCTCCTTCTTTAGTTGTGTGTCAGCCTTAGAAGCCACAATGTTGATTCTAAGAAATGTAATTATCAACCTTTGAATCTGGGACAGAAATGAAATATACCTATATTCTTATGACTGATGTTTTTATGTATTAACTTCTAGGAAAAAATGTGGTGTTTTAAACTGAATGTTATTTCCACAGCAGAGCACATGTATCTTTTGAAGATTTAATTTAAGTAGGAAAGAGTTCTACTTACTATGAATGAATTAAAGATTCAAACCATCTAGGGTGCTCTTCAATCCAGGATTAAGATGTCTCAAATAACTGTGGTTTTATTGAACTCTGTTACCTGTATATATTTAACTAGTGAGGAAGCCTGACTTTGAAGACTTACTAGGTTTTTCCTGTAAGTTCTTAACTTCTGTTGAATTAACAGAAGTTGTGCTATTCCTCAAATGCAGTAGCATAGGAGAGCCAATGATGGATGTGGTCATTTTCTTCAAAGAGCTTGAAGCACTTACTACTACACTGAGTCCACAACCATAGGAAAACTCAATAGCTTGATTACAAGAATATGAGAAAGTCTGCTTTAATAAGGAAAAGTATTTGTAAAAATTCATGCTTGAGAATTTAGAGACACTGATTTCAAGGTGTGAAGAGGAATTACATAAATTTTTTAATGAAGAGGAGAAGACCAGACTGGGCTATGAATTTGAGAAGTAATCAGTTGATGATGATCCAGCACCAAGTCCTACTCCGCAGAAGGCAATTTTAGGAGCAGAGGTCAGAGTGCTCCAGCAGGACTTTCCTGTAGAGCAGTACTTCCTGTTTCTCCTCATACGTTACGTTCTGCACATGGTGGGCACTTAGCAAATATTTGACTTACTTGCACAACTACCAGGAGTGTTCTTTAGCATGAAGGCTGTGCATCCCACCAAACCAAGATTGGTGAAGAGTTTTGGAAAGTGTAAAAATATTTTTTCCTTAGAAAGTAAGGATTAGAATCAATCATTTTCTTTGTGATAATGAAGAAAGAGGGCTGCCCTCAGGAGAGGGGACCCTTGGTGCCCAGACACTGTGAGAGCGGCTACACACACAGCTTACATTTTCGTGAGCTATATCAGATCTAAATGTTGAATGAATGGAGATTCTTGAGGAAGAACAGGTATTATTTGGGCCATGTGGTAAAGGACCTTCTCAGAGAGTGGGTCCATGGGATACAACATTCTTGCCACCAGAAACGGCCAAGGCTTCTGTCTCCTTTTCATTTCCTACTTAATCCCCCTAGCTAACAGCCAAAGCAGGAGAAGCTAACAGCTGAAGTTCTTTCAGTTTGCAATCTTCTTTGGAATTTTCAGTGATATCCAGAGTCTCAGAAGTACTAACTGTGGTTAGATTATTATGGCAACTTTTTTTTTTTTTTTTTTTTTGGTGGTACTGGGGTTTGAACTCAGGGCTTTAGGCTCGCTAGGCAGGCGCTCTACCACTTGAGCAACTCCACCAGTCCTGTTATGGCAGTTTTAATTGCTGATCTGAATTGTGACATGGTCAACCCAATTGACTACAAAAGAAAGGGGGCATAGTAGACAGTGCAAAATACTCCAAGACAGTGAACTGTCCAAAGCAAATTCAGGGCCAGGATAGAAGGAGAGACTACTTGGGTATGTTCATGATATCATCCTCATCCCTATCACAGACAAATCATCCTTCCACCAGCAGGTAGCTAGCATAATTTGCCTAGCAAAGCACAGACTTGGGCATTGCTACCACATGCAGGCTTTTCAATCATGATACCAAAGTTGCACTGTAGCAACTTTGTGTAGTTGGCCCAGGACTGGAAATCCTGTCCCTGTCTTTTACTGTGGGACCTCTCCAGCCTGGTTTTTCTTTTATAGAGGGAAATAATAGAACTTTACATTCCAACCTTAGGAGGGGAGGGTCAGAATTAAATGAGATAATGTGGAGGAGAAGTTGTGAGATGGTATTTGGGGTTGGGGGTTGTTGTGTTTTGTTTTTGCAGTACTGGGGCTTGAATTCAGGGCCTTTACCTTGAGCCATTCCATCACCCCAATTTTTGTGATAGAGTTTTTCAAAATAAGGTCTTGCAAGCTATTTGCCCAGGCTGGCTTTGAACTGTAATCCTCCTAATCTCTGCCTCCTGAGTAGCTAGGATTATAGGCATGAGCCACCCAGTGCCGGGCAAGATAACATTTAAATTTCCCCCATGTCTTGGCATTTCCTGGGCCCTCTTTACTCATCCTTCCTTTCATTCAGCTAAGCTGTCCTGTGCTCACTGCCTGCCTCAAAGTGACAGCAGGAGGTGTGGTGGATAGCTTGCTTCTCTCTGGCTTTGAATTTCAAATTTGGCCCATGAGGAAAACAGAAAGGATTATAGGTAAAAGATTTGAGGAGAAAGCACAGCATGTAAAAATCGAGCCTCCCTGCTCTCCAGAAAAGCAGCGATTCCTGAGGCCAGGGACAGGGCTTGGGGAGTAGGGAGGATGTGAGTTTAGTTACCTGAGCCCAGGTGGCAAAATGTCAAAGAGTGTTGCAAGACCCAGCAGTTGAAGGGATCTAAGAAATTAAGTTAAGAAAAATGAAGAGAGAAATCTGTATTGGTCATTTTTCTCCAAGACAGAACCAATAGGATGGATGGGTGGGCGGGTGGAGGGATGGATGGATGAAGGAGCGTTTACTAGGAGAATTGGCTCATGAGATTTTGGAGGCTGAGAAGTCCTGTGATAGGAGACCCAGGGATGTGGATAAGTGTCTCAGTCCAATTCCAAAAGCTTCAGAGCCAGGGAAACAAATGGTGTAGCTTTCAGCCCGAGGGCAATGGGCAGAGAACCTGGGGATCTGGAGGCACTGCTGCAAGTCCAGAGTCCAAAAGCCAGAAAGCCTGAAATTCTGATGCCCGATAGTGAGACAAGAGTGTCTCAGCTCCAAGAGAGAGAGGGAGAGAGAGAATTCATCTTTTCCCTACCTTTTCTGGGTCCTGAGGCGGTCGGATGGCACGTATACACATTGAGGGCGGATCTTCCCCACTCAGTCCACAAACTCGCCTGCCAGGCTCCTCTGGAAATGCCCTCACAGATACTTAGAATAAGGTTCCAACCAACTTTCCTTCGTCTGGTCAGCTTGATACCTGGAATTGACCGTCACAGTATTTTGTTCTTCCTCACCTGAGTTCATGGGCAAAGCGAGCCATACTTGCTTTGTGGAGTTCCACATGATCCAGGGTGTTTGTTGATAGTTCTAGAGTTTACCTGGATACCCTGTCCTTGAGTCTCTCAGAAGTCTCACCCAAGTCTCTCTTTTCTCCAACTCAAAAAAAAATCTTTTTTAGTTCTTACTCTACCTCCTAAAACCATGCTGGGTCTTTCCTGGATAGAGTTAAGCTGCCCTAAACTGCTCCCAGACTGGTGGTGAAGGAAGGCACTCAGACAGCAATTCCAGGCTCCATCTTCCCACAGTTAGTCAGCACCTGAAGACAACTGACAAAAGGCTTAGGAGGTTTACAGAAGGAGACAACAATGAATGAGAAACCACTCTCCACTCTAAAGGGCTTTCTTGTTTTTAAAGGCGTATAATGAAGGATGGGGCATGGTGGCTCACATCTCTAATCCCAGCTACTCAGGAGGAGGAAGTAAGAGGATCACAGTCCAAGGTTGGCCAGGCAAATGCACAAGACCCTATCTGAAAAACAAACTAGGGGCATGGGTCAAGTGGTAGAGTACCTGCCCAGCAAGTAAAAGGCTTGTTCTATATAGTTGGCCCTCTGTCTCTGGAGTCATTGGTTCCAGACCCCCTGTAGACACACATGCTCAAGTCTCTTATATAAATAGCATGATATTTGCACCTTCTCTCCTGAACCCAAGTCCTCTTTGCTTTAGTTATTTTTTGGATATGGCCTCATGTTTTGCCCCTGGCTGGCCTGAACCACAATTCTCCAATCTATGCCTTCTATGTAACTGGTCTTACAGGTGCATAGCACCATGCCTAGCTTGTTGGTTGAGATGGGGTCTTGGTAAGTCTTTGCTAACTTAACTTCAAACAGCAGTCCTCCCAATCTCCACCCCCAAGTAGCTAGGATTACCGGTGTAAGCCACCATATCTAGCCCTCTTCCGTATGCTTTAAATCATCTTAGATTACTTATAATACCTAATACATTGTAACTGCTAAGCAAATAATTATTATACTATATTATTTAGGAAATAATGATGAGAAAAAAAGACTGTACATGTTCAATTACAGACACAGTTTTTTGGGAATATTTTCAACCCATGGTTAGTAGAATTCAAAGATCTGAAAGCCACAGATCCATAGGACAACTGTGCTGTGTGATTGCCAAGAGAGGCTGGGCGGGGTTTGCAAGGGATAGCAGAAGGCAGAGCCTGTGGCCCTGTGGCACTGGCTAGGTAACCCTGTGCTCCTGGAAGTGAAACAGGAAGCCTTTTCAATTCTCACCTGATCTGTACAAGCAAAAAGTTCCACATTAAGTGAATAAAAACCTAACGAGTCAGAAGCAGAAAGTCACAGCCCCTCAGTCAGTTCTCAGGCTGGAACCACTTTACAGACCCAGAACTCCTTGATTGACAGGGAGACCATGTTCCCATGAGGAAAGACACCACTCCAGTGCCAGCACTTATTCTGTTTCTGTTTCTTCCAGCCTACCCCCAAGGGACCCACAACCTTTTATCAGGATGACTGTGCTTCAGGAAAATAAATAAAGAAAACAATTAGACTTCTCAGGGCTTAGGAGACACTGGCTCTGAACTGACACTAATTCCAGGAGACCCAAAAGGTCACTGTGGCCCACCAGTCAACATAGGAGCTTCTTGGGAGTCAGGTGATCAATGGCATTTTAGCTCATGCCCATCTCAAGTGGGCCAGGTAGTCACTGGCTCTATCCTGTGCTTAAATTCTGCAATCGTGCAATGAGCAGAGAGACCCACTTCAGCAGAGCACCTGCCCAGCCAGTTCCATTCACTGGGGATTTCCGAACATGGAGAAGTTCTTAGTCACCAGCCCAAACCCTTCATTTTGCAGATTTAGAACCAGGAAAGACTCTGCTAAGGGCTAAGTTGTAGTTAAGGTCCTTTAACTTGCAACTCCGTAATTAAATAAATTGGACATCCTGGATCCAAGGGTTGGAGGTCTTCCTGCTGCACGCACCACATCCAGTTGCTCTTACCTTGTGAAGGAGGCTTCGTTAGCTGCCCTGTATCTTATTCTTGTTTCTGCATAGAAAGGGAAGACTTACGGTAGGCTAAGTTCTACCTGGGTTATGATTTCATTCTCTAAATGTGCTTTCCTTTTTTTGTCTGTTTATTTATTTGGGACTATTCATTTGTTTGCTTACTTGTGGAGACAGGGCCTTGCTATGTAGCCCAGCCTAGCCTCAAACTCATGATCGTCCTGCCTCAGCCTCCTGAGGGCTGGGATTTGGGTGTTCACAGCCCGCTTTGTTACGTCCTCTTAATTCTCCAAGCCAAGGCATGAGTATGTCTTCTTAGAAAAGTAAATAATATGTCCATATTCTGTGTGACTTTAGATATTTATTTAGTACAAAGAAAGATTTTCCTGCCAGGGGCAGAAGGGTGTGGGAATGAGGAATAGAACATCACCAATTATTCATCTGTCTTTCAGTTTCCTAAATGGATCTCACACCAAGGAACAGACACATCCCTCCCCTCTCTTGTTACAGAAAATCAGGAAGATGGGAAATGGAGTTGGCACCATTGATTCGTTTTCATTTGTCCCAGAATTAAATTATTTGTTTCCAGTCACTGTTAATTACTGGAATGATAATGCTTTAGATGTCTGGCAATGTCAGAGTCAGAAGCTGCTCCCTGAGAGCCTGGTGTTGCTAAGCATGAAGGTCAGGAGGAAAACATAACAGCAACAGGAATGAAAATGAAATTTTAGGCTGGGCGTGGTGGCGCCGCTGTAATCTCAGCTACTTAGGAGGCGGAGGTAACCAGAGTTTGAGGCCAGCCTGGGCAAAGTTAGCCAGACCTTATCTCAGAAGCAAAATGCAAAATGCAAACAAAAGGACTGGAGGTGTGGCTCAAGAGGTCGAGCACTTGCCTACTGTGTGTGAGGCCCTGGATTCAACTCCAGTACTGCAAACAAAAAAGAAAGGAAGGAAGGAGAAAGGGAGGAAAGGAGGGAGGAAGGAAGGAAGGAAGGAAGAAAGGACATTTCAGTGTATCTGTGTCTTGTAAGTGAAGGAACAGTCATTTTGCCCTGTGTGCATGGAGCCATCTGCAGTATGCACTCATGAACTGTGTTAAGTCACAGCAAGAATATTTTGTCTTTACAAACATGATCACCATTAACTGAACCAGTGGCTCACACCTGTAATCCTAGCTACTCAGGAGGCAGAGATCAGGAGGATCATGGCTTGAAGCCAGCCCAGGCAAAACATGAGACCTTTCTCAAAAATACCCATTACAAAAAAAGGGCTTCTGAAGTGGCTCAAGTGGTAGAGCACCTGCTTAGTAAGTATGAGGCCCTGAGTTCAAACCCCAGTACCACCAAAAGAGAAAGAAAGTGAATGCAAAAGCCAGGCACCTGTGACTCATGCCTGTAATCCTAGCTACTTGGGAGGCTGAGATTGGGAGGATAATGGTTCAAGGCCAGCTCAGGCAGAGAGTCCTTGAGACCCCATCTTAACCAATAGCTGAGCATATTTGTGCACACCTGTAACCTTAAACTACTCAGGAGGCTGAGATTGGGAGGTTTGAGGTTTCAGGCCAGCCCAGAGGAAAAAAACTTCATTAGACACTGCCATTTCAATGGGAAAAAAGCTGAGTAAGATGGCATGCGCCTACCATTCCAGCTATGGAGGGAAGCCTAAAACAGGAGGATTGACTGCTATCCAGGCCAGCCTGAACAAACGCGATCTCCAAAATAACCAAAGCAAAAAGGGCTAGAGGTGTGGCTCAAGTAGTAGAATGATGGCAAGTGTGGAGCCCTGAGTTCTAATCTCAGTACTGCCAAAAAAAAAGCAAACACTTGGATTGTGGTATAGATTTCTGAGTGAAAAGAATTTTGCAAAGGCTTTGTGTAGGATCTCTCACTAAAACTTTCAGACTCATTTATCCCTTGGCATCCGAGTTCCTTGCAGTCTGCTTTGCAAACAGGTAATGAAAGATATCCATGCAAAAAGAACCACCTAAAAAAGAGGTGTTGAATCAAACCAGTTGAATTGTTTACAAGCCCCAAAGAGCTCGTATCTCTCCTGCCACAATGATTTGTTGAAACCTAATGGGCAAGCCTACAGGCTTAAAATTTTAGCTACACTGAAGTCAATTCATCTCAGTTCAGAGGCACCTGGCATATCCTGACTTGCAGTTATGCCTTCCTGAAGTGTGAGATACTGCTGTTACATACAGACCGTCCAGAACCCCGATGAAACATTAATTAGGATGTGAAAAGTCAGTTAAAAACCGGAACCGTTTTTATGCATTGAAAAGTGACTCCACATTAGGGACTCTGTAGTCCAGAAAAGCTTCCTAGCAAACAAAAGAAAGAGTAGCATGAAGTAATTTGTGGCATAGACATTTTACTTCCCACTAAAAGTGGGTATGGTAACAGGACCATTTAAAATCTGTTCAAATGTTGCTGGGTTTTTTAATTCAACTTGCTCTACATGGTATAAGCCCCTTAAGGAACTGAGCAAGAGACCTGTGTGAGTCTTCCATGGTGTGGTGTGGTATGGGGCCAGCTATTCCCCTTGCCTAACCTGTGCATTTGCTTCTTGGGCTTTGATTGATGAACTTGGACCTGATTGTTGCCTCCCTGTGTGCTGGTGCTGGTGCTAAGTCACCATGTGGCAATTTTAGATAGAACCATACCTATAGAGATTTTATAGCATATACACGTATATGCTGTAGCTATAAATGTATGCATAACACAAACACAAGTTTCACAAAATGAAGTTACGCTTATTCTTATTACTTGGGCCACACTCAAGTATTTTCATCCCTGTCTAACTTTTTAAGATGTGCTTACAAGTACTAAATTAATTTCGCAATCCTGGCTTAAGTAATCCACGCAAATCCACTGATGGATGACTACATCATCGCTTTAAGAAGGGGCAAATGCATGAAATAGCCCCACATTTTGACCTGCCAGTTACCACACCTATATTAAACACGGAGACTCTAATGTTAAAATTTTTAAATGATAGAAAGTGTACATTCCTTGATATGCGGGATAGGGACAGAGCCCGTGTCCTTGGTGTTGGCTTTGACTTCGCCATTAGCTGTCCAGGCCCCAGTTTTAAGCGTTCTCTTACCTTTTGCAGGATCGGAGGAGCCATCCCCACTGTGTTCTCCTACTTTGCTGAAGTGCTGGCCCGGGAGAAGCGGGGAGAGCACCTGAGCTGGCTTTGCATGTTTTGGATGATCGGGGGCGTGTACGCCTCTGCCATGGCCTGGGCCATCATCCCGCACTACGGTAAGGGGCTGGCCCCGCGCCAGCCCGCTGACCCCTTTTTGTTTCAGCTTCCACCTCTGCTCCTTTCTTCCCTTCTGAGTGGGCTGAGGACAGCTCTGTCCTCACCACATTTCTCCCTTTCGTGGTGTGCAGGAGTTTTCTTTCTGTACAGAGAACTGTATGAAGCAAGATTCCAGCACATGGTCCTTGGTGTATATGAATACAGGACTGCTGTACTCTCACAACCGTGCTGGCACCCAGATGATCTGAGTGTTTTTCTCCACCAACCAGTTCTACAGCTTGCTGTCCTTGAACTTAACTCCGTTCTGACACGCTCTACCGGGGCCTGGAGTCGTATCCCTCAGATTCAGGACTTAGCCCCACTCCAGAGGCCACTGCAAGTCCAGGCCTCTGGGACTTCTCACTGACCAGCTAGAAACTGGGCATGCTCACGCCTCCCCTCCTCAGGATGGCTCACAGATCCCAGGGAAACACTTAATTTGCATTTTGCAGTTTGTTATCAAGGATACAGATGAGCAGCCAGATGGAGAGGTAGCTAGGGCGAGAGGAAGGGCCTCTAGGCCTTCTCCAGGACGCCATGTCCTCGGGAACCTGGACATCCTCCAAACCCCATAGTTCATAGTCATTGTCAATTACTTACTCAATCTCTAGCCTCTCTCCAGAGAATAGGGTTGGGGCTGAAAGTTCTGAGTTCTAACCATGGCATGGTCTTTCTGATGACCACCCCTACCCAGAAGTCCACCAAAATTGCATCATTAGAACAAAGGCACTCCTACCACCCAGAAAATTCCAAGGGATCAGGAGCTCTGTGTCATGAACTGGGGATGAAGACCAAAATATGTACTTCTGTTTAGAAAGCACATATCATGGCAAACTATAGAATTTTGTAATTTTAACTTTTGTTTGCTGTGTGCTATCAGCTCTGAGGCTCCCCCACCCACCCAGTGGAGGTGAGAGAATTCGCAGATCACCACCAGCATTTAAAGCAACGTGACTTAGTGTTGTTCTTGCAACTATCACACATCTCAGACACACACAGGTGCCTTTATCCATCCTCTCTGGGCCAGTCCTAAACTCAGCCTGCATCTACCCTCTTCCCACAGCACAGAATTGAGATGGGAGCAGGAAGAAACCTGTCTTGTGGACTTTCGATTTACAGAACTTAAGAAGTGACTGCCTGTCTACACTCCCCACAATCCTTCCTCAGTCCCTGAGGCACTTGCCATTCCTGCCCCTCAGCGCATCTGCAGGTTCCATGCTCTAAGCAGCTCTCTCCTGCTGGGAAACCAGGAGCTCCAAACGGCTTCAGCCACACACGGATGTGCAGGGGCAGGTCCACGAGTCAATTAAATACACGAGGAAGAAGGGAGGCCCTTGTTAATATCAGAAAAGGGTTAACTAATCCCTACATAACTGGAAGGAGGAAAGGTTGTGAGTTATGATGCATGTTACAGAAACAGTCACAACACAACAAAATTAAATGTCTGAGGCTGACTTTAATTTTTTTTTTTTGATGGCACTTTCAGAAATAACGGCCTGGTTAGGAACTCAGTAACGGAATAGTAAAATCTTATGGCCATATTTTACTGAAGGCTTTCCATAGCCAGAAGTGTGGCTGGCACCATCAACCAATTATTTCAATCAATCCCATCTGCAAATTAGAATAACAGGGAAGCTCTTTAAATATGTCCTTGCTGAGTTAGTTCAGTGTTTTGCTCTTGAACTTGAAGAGTTTTGTTTTGTGTTTTAAAGTTGAATTTGAAAATTCCTGTGCTGAGGTGGCTGAAGTGACAGTGATTGATGATGATACTCTAATTCTATGGATGTAAAAAAAAAAAAGAAACTTTGTTTTGTAAAAATTCACTAAGCTGCTTAAGATTTGTGGCACCTCTGCCAGGCATGGTGCCTCACATCTGTAATACCAAGATACTCAAGAGGCAGAGATCAGGAGGATGGCAGTTCAAGCTAGCCAAGGCAAAATATTAGCAAGATTTCCATCTCAGCCAATAAGTTTGTCATGGTGGTCCCAAGTCCACAGGACACCATAGGTAGGAGGTTGGAGGTCTGAGGCCAGTCCCAGGCAAAAGAAACCTCAAGACCCTACCTGTAAACTAACTAAAGCAGAAAGGACTAGGGGCATGGCTCAAGTGACAGGTTTAAAGCCCACTACTACCACAAAAAAAAAAAGACTTGCTCACGCCATTAAGGACTTTACACTTTTTCCTAAACATTTTCAGTAAGCCTTCTACCCCTCCCCCCGACACACACAATAACCATGCCTGCGGCCTACCCCAGATGGACCGACTCAGACTCCCCACACTGCAGACTCAGCACTGAGCATTTGAATTTTTTCAGTATGATTGACAAATAAAAATCACACGTGCAGTGTGGACAGTTGATGTTTCGCTTCTGAGTGCCTTGCGAAGTGGTTACTTCAATCAAGCTAACGCACATGTCCGTCACCTGTCTTTCTGGGTGTGGGAAGCACCTGCGGTCCATGCCATTGGTGGAGTTCAAGTACACAGGGCATCATTACTGGTACTGTCACCATGCCATGTGAGGCCACCAGAGTTCAGCATCTTACCACTGAAAGTCCCTCCACTCTGGTCAACTTCTGCCCATTATCCCCAGTCCCAGCCACCGGACCACTCTTCTATACTGTGATGGCTTTAGATTCACGTGTAAGGTTGTGAGGCTTTTGTCTTTTTGTGTTTGGCTTATTTCATTAGTGTTTTCACAATGGCAGAGTTTTCTTCTTTTTCAAGTGTTTCGAGGTTTTATCGATTATAGTTCTGTGGTTTCAAGTCTTACCTTGATGTCTTTGATCCATTTGAAGTAGATTTTTGTGAGTGGGGCAAGAGCAGGTTCCAGTTTCCATCTTTCACATGTGACGTGGAGTTTGCAGCCATAATTGAAGACAGCGTCCATCAGCCTTGGTGCCTCTCGCCAGCCACTTGACCCTGCATAGATTTGTTTCTGGGCTTTGCGTTTGGTTCCACGGCCTTATGTTTCTGTGGTTTTCCCAGTGCCATACGGTAGCTTTGGAGTATAATTTGAAACCAGGAAGTGTAACACCTCCAACTTCATTTTTGCTCAAGATTGCCTTAACTGCTCAGGGTCTTTTGTAGTCCATACGGATTTTAGGATTCTTTTTTACTTCTGTGAAAAAAAAAAAAAAGATATTTAAAAGTTCATCATTAGAGGACAGAAACACAAATGATTTTTGTACATTGATTTTGTGTCCTATACCTGTATTGAATTCCCTCTTGTTTTGCTTTTTTTTTTTTTTTTGGTGGGGGGTCTTGGTACTAGCGTTTGAACTAAAGGCCTCTTTCTTTCTAGGCAAGTGCTCTACAAATAAACCATGATTCCAGCTGATTTTGCTTTAGTTATTTTTCAGATAGCCTCTCATGGGTTTTTTGCCCTGGCAACCTGGACCTTGATTCTCTTACTTATGCCTCCAGTGTGGCTGGGATTATAGACGTGTTCCACCATGCCTGGCTTATTGGTTGAGGTGGGGGTCTTACATTTTGTCCAGACTGGCCTTGCACAGAAGTTTTCCCCATCTCTGCCTCCTGAGTAGCTGGGATTACAGATGTGAGCCACCACCCTCCATCTTGTTTATTACTTCTCAGAGTTTGGGGGAGAGGACTCTTTAGAATTTTCTCTATATAAGATCATGCCATCTGTAAATAGAGACCATTTTACTCTTTCTGATTTTGATGCCTTCACTCACTCATTCCTTCCTCCATCCCTCCTCCATCTCCCTCTTTCTCCTCCTTGTCCTTCTCCTCCTTCTCTCCTCTCCTCTCCCCTCCCCGCCTCTCTTCTCTTCTCCTCTTTTCTTGTCTTCTCTTGTCTTCTCTTCTCTCTCTCACTCCCTCTTTCTCTTTCTCTCTCCCACTTAGCTGCTCTGGCTAAGATTCCCAGTGCTATGCCCAACAGAAATGGCAGTGTGGCACCCTTGTCTTGCTTCTCAGAGGAAAAGCTTTCCGCTTTCACTCCTGTCTTTGCGGTAGACTTGTCATAAATGACCTTCACCATGTTAAGGTCCATCTGTAGGCTTTAAAGCCCCCAGGTGGGTCCAGGCTACAGCCAGGTAGGAGCGTCTTCCACTCATTGTGTGGGACTCCTTTTGTGGGGGACCCCGGAGACTTCATGGCATGCAGTACTACCTGTGTGATTTCCTTACCCGATTAGCATTTGAGTTGCAGCATTGTTTGTTTCTTGCGAGCTAAAATCCTGTCCTGCTCTTTCTGTATAGACTCACAGTTTGAAGGTAATATTGATGTCTAGATGGCTCTCCTTCTCAGTGGCACATTCTTTTACTTCAAATGGACAAGGAGTTAAAGTCCATCCACTTCCTCTATAGCCTCTGGGGACAGGGAGAGCTTTATCTTTTCTCTCAAAAATTCTGCATTGTATAACTGATGCTGTGGGCCATAGAGACCACAAGAGTGTCAGTCTCCACCCCTCCAGCCTCTGTCATGGAGGAGAGCTTCAAGTGTTACCTGTAGAGAGTCTAGGAGCAAAACCAAGCTAGTCCAACCAGGAACTGACCTTTCTCACACCAGTAACAAGATTTGTTCTGCAGGAAAAGAAGCAGTAACTGACACCCACATTGCCAATGTGCTTCAGAGGACAAATAATAGGTGGTCAGGAGGCTTCTGGACAGAAGGGACTCTTCCTGGACTCCATGACACCTTTCTGCACATATGGCAGAGCAGTCAACACACAGAGCCTGAGCCTGATGCAAGGGGACTCAGATTCTGGCCACACGCAGCCTCTGATGCAGAGCGGACCTTGAGCTGGTCACAAAGGGCTCTGGAGGGAATCTTGGGCAGTTCACACAGCACAGAAAGAGTGTTCCAATTGTTCCATGGGCCAGGGGGTAAAGAAAAGTGTGGGTGTGGTCAGGAGGTCCTGATGAACAGGTCAGGAGTCAGCCTGGCCTGCCCAGACCTATTTTACACCAGCATGTGACAGCAGTTTCTCTCACA